AAATAGCTTTATCTTGAGTAGTTCTGCATGAGAAGAGAGATTGTGAGTTAGTATTAACCCCTTCTTCAAAAGGAAAAGCAAGAGCTCTTCACTCTAGCACATTCATCACCCATGATTTATTCAGAGTAAGAATTTGCCTCCCTACCCTTACCCAGACCAGTATTAGAAAATCTATCCATTAGCTGCAGGGCAGAGCTGGGGATGGAATGGGACCAAAGAGACCCTTGGTCTGCCATGGGACAGTCAGTTCTGCTCTGATGGACTTACCTGGTGTGCTGGCACAGTTCATCTCAGCCTCTAGGAGAGCAGCTTTCTTTACTAACTCTGAAATGGCACTCTGACAGTTGGTTTGTCTGTATCTCTGCCTCATGACTGTTTCCATATCTAAATTCAAAGTCTGGTTCTCCTTACCAAGCTAAGGGATGTACACCAGAATCCACTAACACAGTAATACCTCTGCTATGCACTGCACTGGGGGGTCACAGAAGCCTCTGCATAACAGTAGTCAAATAAGTGTATTCTACCACAATGACAGAAAAGGTAGGATATGTAAGGGTCATATTTTACCTACTACTTTCTATATTTCTATAATCTTAAAATGTTACAAGCTACAAAACCGGTCCTCTGTCATGGTGTGATACAAAATGATACATTCATGCTGCAGTACACGAGCTCTGTTAGAGGTCATCGTCTGAAAGATCGAATAAATACCAGACAATATTTACATTGGCTTTGCGCAGGTATGTGATTTCCAAAGAAAGATGCAACAATGGGCCTATGATCAGACACAGGCAGAAATGAGAACTGCTGAGCAGTACCTATCTCAATGTATTAAATACTAAATAAAACCCCCCAAAAATTCCCTTGAAAAACCTGATTTTTCCTAGGGGATGCAAAATCCTTATTCTTCCTAAGATTATACCAGAAACTCATATTTTGTAAATACCATAGGACTACACACAAAAGATCATGCTCAAAAACATTTCAGCTATTTAGTGTTCAGGTGAACTGGAATAACTTTTACTTGAAATAACAAACATGTCAAAAAAAGTTGTTTTCCAACTACAACTAAGACCAAAGTAAAATCATTTACTATGGAGCAGAAACAGCACAAACAGGGCACTGAAGGAGTGACTTACGGCTAAGTGTATTGCCAGCTCCTGTTAGTTTTACTCTGAGTCTTATGATAGTTGGATCTTTTCCTAGAGCAACAGCTTCAGCATTCAAACAACACAATAAGGATCTTGGCTTTGACTTAAAAGTAAAAAATGACCACCACATAACAGAAAAGAAAATCTTGGTAGCAAAATGAAAACACAATCCCTAAGAGCTTCAGTATGAAATAATGAATTTAAAATACTTTTTTTTAATACTACTATTTTAAGACAGACTTGGGATCTTCAAGGGCCCAACTCATCCATTTTGAAAGCTTGGTTTCAGCAACATCAACAAATTGACTGAAAATCTGTCGGGGAAGTGACTCTGGGAAAAAAACCTGCATTAATCACAAGAAATGAAAATACAGAAGAGAGCAAACAGAGAAGATGCTTAGGTAACTACATATATGTGGGGCAAATACTCATTAAGTTATTACTACTCTGTGAATACAAAACAAATCACTTGTCCACTAGGAGAAACAGAGCAGGCATAATATTGTAATACTCATGAGTTAGTCTAGATGCTTCCTTTGGAAATGTTTCACAGCATGACCCGTTACCTGGGTGTCTCAAAAGTCTCCTTCTCAATTACACAGCTGCCCACAGCAATATCACACATATTTCAAATTATTCCCTTAGATCACCATATACCAGCACAGCTCTTCTCCTCCCCAGAGAAAACCAGAAATGGAGGCAGACATTGAAAGTGAAGAGAAAAGGCCTGGAGGGCTATTTCTGCCTCAGAGCATGTCAGTGGACACTGTAATACAGCTACTGTCTCAAGAAAAAAAAACCAAAACTCAGAGGAAGAGCACTAAAGAACTCACTAAAGAGCCCCACTTTCTGCTTCACCTGGTTAAAGTGGCAGATTTGCATGTTGCAGCACATAACCTATTGTGGAAAATACCAATCTGTTGTTCAGTTGGGTTGTTTTAGAAAGACAATTCTTACAGTAGCTATGGTGATTGCCTGCTCGGCTGGACAATGGCACTGCTGGCTGGGGCAGCTCTGCTGCTGACCTTGGAGCACCCTGAGCCTTCAGAACAAGGTTCTCCTGGGTCACTGGGCACAGCCACAGGGTAAGCAGCAAGGCAGTGATATCCCATGTGACAGGAAGCCTGTGTGGACTGGTGAGCTGCCAAAAATTCTGGAGAGGCAATCTGGCATGCAAACAGAGTGAAATGGTGGAGGCAAGGGGTAGGAAATAGTGATGACAGGTCACTTAAGCTTCTACCTTTTCAGCTAGTCCCTTTTGACCCACTTCCTCCCTGGCTGCAGGTGACATTGACAGCTGTTTTCCAGCTCAGCACAGCAGCTGTCAGTCGTTGCCTCTGTCACTCATAAAAGTTGACAAGTTTCAGAGCTGATGAGCCCAGCACCTTCAACATTACACAGGAAACCTCCATCTCCTCCATGCCACAGCTGTCCCAGTGGAGAGACACTACGAAATCAGCATTTTAAGTTACCATGAAGAAGAATCAAAGCTATGTCCTAACTAACTATAAAGAGAAAGCAATCCACAAGGAACTATAGTAGAAGAAAATCACAGCAAACATTTGTTACTATATCTTAAATCCTCTCTGTAAAAAAAATTTTAAGAAGTTTGCAGTGTAACAAATATCCACCCCTACAGTTAGCCTGTTCTGAACATCAAACTGGAATAGAGAGAAATGGGGTATATGAAAACTGTTTTGCTTAGTGACAATACATAGTTGTCAGTTCACTTTCTTCACTGAAATTCTGAAATTAATCAGTATCTGCTTCTTGGTAAACAGACTCATAATCTATGTAATGATCTGTATTACATGGATTATAGATTACATGTTCTACAAAGGGCTTTGTTTTGATTGATGCTGAGGACCAAAATTAAATGTCACGATGGAGGGACGAACTGTTGATGTATTTATATCAGGGTCCTTCAGGACATCACGATTTCCCCAGCGTACAGACAAATGGAACAAGTGCCACATCTGAAGTTGGTGGCCTTATGACCTCAGCTCTTGGGGGTCCAGAGTCTGTCATGACTTATAGAGCAACTATTCAAGACTAATCATGAATGCCACTGATATACAGGCACAACGAGCCAAAAGTACATGACCTTCCCAGCAAGCGTCTTTGAAATGCAAAGGATCTGACTGCTTAGAGAAGCAGAGCCTCTTTAGTTTAATGAAGAGCAAATTTCATTTCTTCCCATATACTTGCCACAGTATATTACTTGTTTTCAAAATTATCCAGGAGTTTTGTGTTATTTAACAGCATTGGCAATTTTAGAGCTTAAGTATCTGAAACTGATAATAAGTTGTTCTACCCTCTCTAATCTCTAGTAAATACAACTTACTCCATTAACGTTCATGTGATATTGTTTTCATCACACAGCACTCCTCCACGCAGTCAAGGACCTAATCAAATACATAATCAATCAACCTGCTTGTCAGACACAAACAGCAAGCAAAAGGCTTCTTTGTGTCCTCCACAATTGCCTTTTTAGAAAACAAGTGAACCATTGGTCTGTAAGAACATGCAATACATCAGTAACGCACAAGGGGCCTGAATGCTCCCTGTGGTGCTGTGAAGAAACCTTGTGACTGAATTCCAGAAGAGGAACATTTCGATGAGTTCCTCAGATTGCCCTGACTGCTGCTTTGGAATTACACAGTATGGATTTTTTTTTTAAAGCTGGCTGCAATCACTGGAGTCAAAAGCTTCTCACAAGTTAACAAAAGACAAAAGCAAGCAGCTCTTTGGCTTTAGCACCACTGAGCTCTCACAAACTGTTGCTACAGAATTCCACTCCTTTCTGCAGAGCAGAAGGGAAAGCAACAAAACAGCTTAACAGTTTTTAAACATCTCTCTTGGATTCCCAAAGACCAACAAGAGAGATACATGACATCCATCCTTGTTTTGCCTCATTTCTTGGGGGGGACAGCAACTACTTCTTGAGATTCTCAAGATGCTGCAACGAGACTGAGTTGTGAGCAATTTATGTGAGCAGATGTGGCTATATCCTTTCCTAACAGCATCAGCCACAGTACTTTACTGTTGTTACACTGTAAAAAAGCTCCAGAAAAGCAAACACAATGCATACCTATTAAAGCATTAATATATACTACATAACTAAATAACTTTAATGTACATATAAATTGCATTATACAACTTGGATCCTACTCCTACTTGGTAAGAGTATGTTTACCATGAAACCTTCAGCACTGACAGTCCCAACTGATGATCTGAAGTAATTAATTTTGCCAAAATTAATCTTTAAAAAGTCATTCCCTGTATTTTAGACGAGTGGGGAACACTACAGAGAATCACTTCAAAGCTTTCATTAGCACATGCCAAATAAAATTCAATTGATAAACACTTTTTAAAAGCAGGTGGGAATCCAACCTTATGGTGTATAAATAAATCTCTGTGCAAGTTTCATAGGTCTTTATGACAATGCCTTAATCTTCATTATAAACATTAAATGCAGTCAAATTACTTCTGTAAAATCCATGCACCTTTGGAGATACTACACCTTGCAATTTATTTTGATGTAGTTATGTCAGACATTCCCTGATGTCCCATTTGAAACTTACTCAGTTTTATGTAGAATACTTGTGCAAAAATCCTTACTATATTCATGCAATAGAAATGTGAACAGAGATTAAATAGGGTTCCTGTAAATTTTCTTTATAGCATCTCTTAATAAACTGAAACACTTTCTTAACTAAGCTGAAGAAATTCCAGTATCACAGACTCACAGAATCTATGAATCATTACCACAGCAGCAATTCAACACCTCTGGAAATCACTGTGGCTGGTGCACAAGCACAATAAGCAATGGCCCATTATAAGGACTGGTGTAGTCTTAAATATCTTTATTTAAATAGACAAAATAAATATTTGATAAAAGATAGCTAACCAAAGTACCACAGTTGTTTGGGGTTTTTTGAAGCAGATCAAAGCAACGCGAGTGCCACCTCCTGGTTTAAGCATGAAAACACTTTGGGTTGTGCACCTCTACCTGAAGGGTGCAGTTTTGTTTTTGTTTTCTTCCCCACCTTTAAAAAATAAATAAAAAAATTGACTGTTCATCTTCAACATTCACAGAATGTTGGAAGAACCAAATAGTTAAACACAAGAAATTAGTAAGATTTGCTTAATGTTATTGCCTGAAGCAAAAATAACTGTATAAATGCTGCACAAGTATTTTTCCCCAAATTTAACTTCACAGATGTCAAATCCTACTAAAACACATGAATGACCACAATTTTAAATAAATACTTAAGTGCAGTGGCTTGAAGTAGTCTTGGTGTTAATGTACTTTTGAGTATATACTTCCAACTCCTTTTTACCTTAAAAAATTATTTTTATCAGTTATGAGAAATGCATGCATCTCCTAGCCAGGAAGTCACAGAACCTCACAAAGGAAGGCTGAGGAATTCAGTAAACGCACTACTACAAATGGCACAAAGAACTGCAGTCCAGTTTATATCTGCTGCAAGTCAAATCACAAAGTTGTTGAGAAAACATGGGTAAATTTCTGTCCACTCTGAGTTTAAGTATCAGCCCGCACCCTGGGTGATGCCACACTATGTCAAAGTGGCATCACATCCTCTGGACTTTTAAATTTTGTTTCCCAATATTTTTCAGCTCTCTGTGCCATTTCATACTGCTACATGCCCAAAGCCTTCTTTTATCCACAGGCTAAGAAGCCATGCTAGACAAATGTCATAATTTCACAACCCCACACACTTCTATGCATTGACTTGCTGTCATAATTCAATCATAATCCTCAAGTATTCTGGAATACATATGGCAGCTCATATATTTTTAAAATGTAAAACCCCTTTGAACAGAAGCCATTCACGTGCTTTATGTCCCAAAACATTCTTATTCAAATTATGAAGACAGACAGTTATTGCACTTGTATTTTACAGCAGCGAGCACTTCCAGGAGGAAAACCATGTCTCTTTCTGCAGTTGCCGTCCCGATACTTTCTTATGCTAAAGCAGTAACAGTTCATGATGTCCATCAGCACTTTATCAATTCCTTGTTTGGCAGAGGTTCTGCAATGACTTCATCACGCATGAACTGCTCCTAAAGACAGCAAATAAAGTTTTAGCTGATTTTCATTATTTCTGGAGCTCCTCTCCCCCACAGAAAACACCAGACACCGATTCTGCTTTCTAGCCTGGGTATAACTGCTATAAATTTGTCTCCCAAAACATAAAAAGCCACAGCATGCCCACTAGGTATGAAAAGCAACCTGACAGGTTCACAAGTACAAGGCTACATGACAGGGTCATAAATACATCTATGCTAGGGTCACAGATAGCTCTTAGAACCGCAGAGATTGTTTTGCCTGTTTTCCGCCCCATGCTCCCACAACCCTATTCAGTGTGTACCAGGCGCTTCTCAAACCTGCTGTCGCGCTTTCTTCAGAGGACAGCGAGCCGGAGCCCGGCTTGGCAGGCCCGGCGCCAGGGAAGCAGGCCGCCCCGCGCCCAGCAACCCCCGTCCGGCACCCACCTGATCGTAAATGACGCGCAGGATCAGGGAGCAGCTGGGGCAGGTGGCCACGTCCTCGCCGTTCTCCAGGTCCTCCTGCAAAACCCCCGGGACGGCAGTCACCGGACCATGCCTGCTCACAGACCCACGGGCCCCGCGGCCTAACACTGCTCCATCCCTCCCCCCGCCGCCTCCCGCGTCCCTACGCGGCCACCATTACCCGCGTGATGAGGAAGCGGTCCCCGCAGGGGCACGGGTAGCTGTAGGTCTCGGTCTCCTCATCGTACTCGAAGTCCTCAATCTCCACCTCATCGTGGAACACCGACATGGCGGCCGCGGCGGCGGGTGAGGCGCGCCGGAAGCGGCGCGGCTGCGGCCGGGACGGCGAGGGGAGGGGCGAGAGACCGGCGTCACGTGATGCGGCGGCGGGCAGGGGTCCCGCGGCGGAGGTTGGGGGTCCGTTCGGCTCGGCTCGGCTCGGCTCGGCTCGGCTCGGCTCGGCTCGGCTCGGCTCGGCTGTGGGACCCTTCTTGGTCTGTTCGGGTGCCAGGGCCGGACGCGCTGTGCGGCCTCTGGAAGCGCTGCAGCCGCTTCCCGACAGGTGCCCTCCCCTGCACGGCCTTGCCTGCTCCTCGTCCGGGAGGCGCAGAGCGGGGTTCTGTGGTAGCTGAGGCGGGGCGGCAGCAGTCCTTGTCAGGACGGCCGCGACCTTGTCAAGGGGAAAAGCTGCTCTCGGTGGTGACCTGTCCAGAGGGGTGCGTGCTCCTGGTGAAAGATTCCCTATCCTGCTTGCTTAAGCGTGCTTGCTTCCCCCTCAGCACTCGCTTGGCTGTAGTTTATGTAGTAATTTTCTCTTTGGTGTGGCACAGGTTAACTAAAAGTAGCTCTCTCCCTTCAGATAATACTGACGTAGGACTGACCGAAAGAAGAGATGCAGTTCTACATCTCAAGCGATACTAACTCAGGGCCAGTGGGTCAGAGGATAAGGAGCATGAGTGAATTGCTTGATTTTACGTGAGGAGAAAAGTCATATACAAACGCAGCGCCCATTTCTGTCTGTGGAGGAAAGGAAGAAAGGGAGTATTTAGAGTGGCTATTTCTGTAAGGACTTGGGTAAGAAGAGAATAAAAATTAAAGGGAGAACATCCCTCTGGACAGGAGCTTGGGAGGCCGAAGCACTGTGCTTGAAGGGCAGGGAAGTGCTGAGGGGATGGATGAGCGGAGAAGGTTGCAGAGGTGATATGGGGGTGAGGCAGTTCATGCTCTTTAAAGGCATGACTCATGTATGGCAAAGGAGAACCAGGATTTATTAAAAGAGATTTTGGAATGTATTACTTGCAGAGGAAAAATTACAACTAATTTTTATTGTGACTTTGAGGATTGGAGCGTAATTGATGATAATGTAAATGGAACAAGTATCTTGAACTACTGTTCCAGAGTTATTTTAATTTATGGTAGAGTCTCACTCTTAAAATAGCCTGTATCAATAGGATCTTTCAGGTTTGACTTCAGAGTTGTAGCTGCTACAGTAAAGTAAGTCTGACATTTTGTTTTTAGTGTTACGTATTGATATTGAACGTTTGTTTGGGGTTTTTTGCATTTTCATGTGTAGAACTGAACACACTTGCTTCTTCAAGTGGTAGCAGGGGAAATGAAAATGAGGCCGGCCTTAAGTGACTGTCAACCTTGGCAGCAGCATGAAACGAAATGTGTAAAATACACAATCAAGAACCTTTGTGCTGGATTTTAAAGTTAGGCCACTTAATTTACCAGCAGATGTCGCTGCATTTAGTAGAAACTGACTGCAGAAAGGGTTTGGAAGGATTTAGAAAGAAAGAAAGTAGATCTCATTCTTTTGCCTCCAAAGCAAAGCATCAGGCATTATGTGGTTCATTTTGATGTTGTGGTGATTTAATTAAGTCGTGGCTCTTGGTGTAAACAACTTACATAAGAATGACCACTTTCAAATCTGGTTCGTTTTTACTTTGAATTAGTTAATGTGATAGAGTGAAAAGCTTGAAATCACGACTCAAAAGTGAGAAGCCTAAAAAAAGATTACATAGATGGATATAACCAAGATGTGCTACCTGGTCATAAAATGATCTCATGAATTCAAGTAACTCAGTGATGTTTGAGCACTCTGGATTTACAGACTGAACATGCTGAGATAGAGGAATGCAGTTTCTTCACTGGATGTGTACTTTTCCTTGCTAAAATATTTCAAGATTGTTAATACTTTTGTATCAATAGTTTCTGCACATTTGTGTGTAGAAAATGCTAAAATATTTTGTTTAAATAGAGTACTCTGTGTATGCTGTGGGGAAAAATAAAACAAGTAATTTTGCTCACTGCTGGTAGAATAATTTTAAATACTTCTGCTTTGAAAAGTTGCAAGCTGCTGTGGAATTAAATGCTAAAAAGCTATTAAAAATTATGGGCAGTTAAAAGCTGCAGGAAGTACTTATGCTTGAAAGTGGGCATTTTGAGCACTTACAGTAAATGTATTCCATTTCTGAGCACACTGATTTATGAAAGCTCTGCCTCCCATTTGTACATGATTACAAACAGACAAATTACTGAGTGACCAGCCAATGCAGCAGTTAGTGAAAGCCCAGAGAGTATAGGCCTGATTAGTTAAACAGGCTGGATCGTTGCCATTTCAAAGGATTCAAGATGAAAAACAAAAACATTTTGAAAGTAAATTACATGCTTTAAAACAGTGTGGGAAAGGACATGTAACTGGAAGTAAAAGGTTAAGAGTGCTTTAAAGAAGCAAGGGGACTGCATCATAGAAGTAATAGAATTTGATAGGTGGTGATAATATGATAGAGAATCATGCTAATCCACTTCAGGAAAAACAAAGGCATATTTACAGGCAATGAGAAATATCTCTTGGCTTACTATGAACCTTTTCCTACACTTGGTAAATGAGGAGTGTTTCTGACTTTGTTTGGATATTGTATGTGTCAGTTTCTCTGTCAGAGCTGTATTTGAGTATGCAGTTTTGAAGCTTCACACCATGTGTCCATTGCAGTGCATGTAAGTCTCTGCCACTTGCTTAACTGGTTAGAGGTCTAAGTATTATGTAGGATATTTGGAAGAATGAGGGATTTACATGTTTCTAAATAAACCTGTAAACAAAAAGTTTTATTTAATGTTTATAAAAATTTCCAACCAGCACCCTTTCTTTACCAACAGAAAGGAATGCATATCCAGTGTTTGATCTTCTTTCAAACATAAATATTGTTTGAGCTTTTAAAATCACAGATGTGTTGGCTGGAAGGGACTTTTGGGTGTCATAGAATCGCAGAATGGTCTGGGTTGGAAGGGACCTTAAAGGTCATCCACTTCCAACCCCCTGCCACACACAGGGACACCTTCTACTAGACCAGGTTGCTCCAAGCCCCATCCAGCCTGGCCTTGAACACTGCCTGGGATGGGGCAGCCACAACTTCTCTGTCCCAGTGTCTCGTCTAGTCAAAGCTCTTGCTTGGAGCAGTACAGTTGATATCACTGGATTAAACCAATTCCATGTGTAGACTCTTGTACTACTTTAACTTCATGAGGTTTCTGTTTTCCAGTCCTGCAGCTTCTCAGTGCCCCTTTGAAGTGAAGGTATACCATTGAGCATGTCAACCGTCCCTCTAATTTAGTATCGTCCACAAGTTTGCTGATGGTACATCCTGTCTCATCATCCAAATTATTGGTAAATTTATTGAACTCTGTCAATCCTGAGGTACTCTTACAGTAACTGGAGCAACTTGAAGCCATCAGGTCTTCAATTCTGACTGCCTAGGCAGTTTTCAACCATTCCAGCTGTCTGTCTGGCCTCAGTTACCTAATGTGTATGCCATGGAAGATGGTGTCAAAAGCCCTGTAGGTCAGTCAAGGTGTACTGTATCCATTGCTGTCCCCTTAACTGTGTGACCACATTTCATCACAGTAGGTGCTCAGATCTACCAAATATAATTTGGTGTTGGTAAATCTGTGTTGCATCTCTTTGATTACTTTCTGTGCTTTCACACAGCTAAAGGGACAAGCTTTGAGCATGTCCCACACCAGTGGCTGAGGTGGTGTTGACTGGACACAGGCAATGCTTCTTGCCTCTCTTAAAAAATGACCACACATTGGTCCTTTTCCAGTCCACTGCAGACTTTCTCTGATAACTGTTTTTCGTAGGTAACAGACAGTTGCCTCACTAGCATGTCAGCTGTGTCTCTTGGCAACCTTTGAGTGTAACCCCTCTGGCTCTGCATTTGAATAAATCCAGCTTCTCTAAGCAGTTGCTGGCCCCACTCCTACTTATTCCTCTCTTTCCCAAACACTGCTGGTCTGGGTGCAGGCTTTGTCTGTGAAGAATGAGGCAGAAAAGCTATTGAGTATGTCATTTTTTTCTACACCATCTGTGACAAGGTTGTCTTCCCTTTCAATTGATGGATGCACATTTTCACTTCAATTCTTTATGATACTTTTGTACTTTTCAGATTCCTTCTTGTTGCCCTCTATGTCTATTGCTAGTTTCAGCTCCAGGTGAGCTTTGGCCTTTCTGATTTAAAGAAAGTAAAGGGTGAAAACAAGCCATGTCAAACAGTGTGTATTTCAGTTAACAAGTATTTATGTGTATTTTTCAGGAGCTGGTGGTTCTGGCCCAGTCATCATGGCTTGTGCTACTATTCATGTGGGTTTTACTGTTCCTCAGTTACTGAGAGGTGTCAGCAGAATTCTTCCCACTCATTCTGCATTGGTGGTGTTGAGGCACTCTGCTTTTTGTTACTGCACAGTGAACAGGTGGGTTATCTACAGACAAAAGCTTTTTTTACCCAAATAGAATGTCATGGTAACACTGTCAAAATGAAGCTGATAAATTATTACAGACCTAGAAATACTTATTTAACTCCCAATTATATATTTTTACTTAATTCTTACTTAGATTTATGTCATCTGTAGTCCAGATTACACTGGTAAATTGTTATGTTAATAGAAATTCGTATCAGTAAGGGACAGTAGCGCAGCTGTCAGAATGACAATTATCTTTGTTGGCTTTTTGTTGCAGCACAATAAAATCAAAAAGGAAAATGGATCATCTAGAGAGGACAGCAAACAATTTTCGCCAGGAGGTTAGTGTTCTGTGCTTTACAATGTAAGTAATTTTTGTGTGTGTGTGAAGAAACTGGGTAATTACATTTGGTTTCGTATTGTCTTCTGCTGGAGTCTGTTTTACTTCTTTTTCTCCTCATTTTTTGTATTTGATACTGTTATAAAAAGAAATGTATTTTGCAGTCAATGAGTGGAATGTAATGAGTTATAAAAACTGTGGGTGATGTTTAATTTATATTGGACAGGAAATTTGATAGAATTCTGGC